TGAGTACCTCAGCAAATGCCCATCATGGTGGATCAGAATGTGGGTTCTTAGGATGGACAGGGTGCTCCTGGCTTCACCCCTGTCATTTCCGAGCTGTGGACGTTGTAAAACTGCCTGGCATCCCCCCCCTCCCCCCACCTCAGTTAGGGAGGGCAAAGTCACATGCTGCACAGTGACACGCCTATCAGTGCATCCTGACTTCCTCGGACACGGAGTAGGTGACACGCCAAAGCAGCGTGTGGGGACTGGCTTTACATCATCATTAGCCGTTGTGTTAATTGGTTAATGAATCTGTAGTCCCACAAGGGGCAGGGCATGAGTGGCCTTGCCTGGTTCCTGCTCCGTGTCTGACCTTCCTCTTATACTGCACCTTGGACATGAGGCTCAGGGTCGGGATGAGTGAGGAATAGAGAGACAGGGAGGGGGGCACGCATGCACACGGCATGCACACGGCATGCACACGCGTGGCCATCAGAGTACAACCTTTCGGGAGTCAGTCCTCCCCTTTCCCCACATGGGGCCCAGGGATTGATTGGCAGGACAGACGATTGGTGTGACTGCCCTCCCTCATGGTTGTGTCCAGAGGGCATATCCCCCCTGCCCTGTCTCACTCCCGTATCCCTTGTCAGTAACCAACTCATCCCGGCATCTAAGACAAGCACCTCCTCATCAGCCCTGGCAGGGGATTTGCATTTAAAAAAATTAATTTATGCATATGAATGTTTTGCCTGCATGCATGTGTGTGTACCACATGCATACCTGTTGCCTGTGCAGAAGAGGGCATTAAATCCCCTGGATCTGGAGTTACAGGTGGCTGTAAGTCACCATGTGGGTGCTGGGAACCGAACCTGAGTCCTCTGCAAGAACAGCTAGTGTTCTTAACCACTGAGCCATCTCTCCAGCCTCCTTGTCGGGGCTTTGGAGATCTCTTTTTAGGTGGAGCTGGGCCTGAGACCAGCTAGGTTTGAGCTCTGGGGTCTTCAGGGCTGATACACTGGAGAACAACTGAGTGATAGGGCTGCCTCTCTGAGGCCCCTCTGAAGGATGAGGCTGTGATGGGGAAGAGGGGTGCTGTGGAGGAGGGTGGCTGCATGGGAACAGAGACCTAGTTACTTCCCCAACCCTCCATCCAGCAGCTAGGAGTGTCCTCAGTGGTCAACTGGCTCAAGAATACAATGGCCCAAGAGGGACTGACAGATAAAACCTTGTTTTCTGGCCCCAAATCAGGACACCAAAGAAATTTCACAGTTTAACCCTGTGAGCATCCTCCAGTCCCAGTACATGCTACCTGGACACCCAACCCACGACTGTGGTAGAGAGATGCGTGATATTCCAACCCAATGCAACAAAAGACACCAGCCAGCTGAGTCAGTGCACTTTTTTTTTTAATAGTTTAACCATAATGCAAACAAGCATAAGTAGACTTTGTGTTGAATCCCATAAAACGAGAAGGTGAGGGTTCTATAGAAGAGAAGCATGCGAGAACACAGCCTGGACAGCCTCGCGGAGGGCGTGGGGGCAGGTGGCGGTGCTGGAGCACACTTGGCGGAGGTTAGCAGCATGGAGAAGTCAGAGGCGGGTGGGGGCGTCTGAGTTTCTGACAGCTTGTGTGTGGTGAGATGGAACCCGGGCTCTGCCCATCCCCCTGCCCCCACTCCCTGTAACCCCAGAGTGAACACTCTGGGTGTAACCTGATCCCGAGTGGGACACGGGACTTCTGGCAAGCAATTGCTGAGCCTGGAGTGGGTCATTCAGTCACAAGGACAACAGAGACAAAAGTGTGAAGACAGAGCTTGGGGCACGGAGGTGGGACAGGGACAGGGGATAGCCTCAGACCCTACATGAGAGGTGGTTCCTCAGTGCCTCCGTCTTAAAAATGCTGAGCTACCCTCTGACTTGGGAGTTTTGAGACTTTGCTATGTCACCGTTGGTTTGAAGGAGGTTAGAGAAGCAACCATTGAACCGAGGCAGGTTTCTGGCTTTCTCCAGCTCTATCACCAGAAGGCCTACAGCCGCAGGTAGACAGCTCCATGGCCCGACTCAAAAGCAATGGTTGCTTGTCCAATGACTGAAGGTCCTGCCCTCTCAGGGACACTAGTACTTTCTAGTGACCTTTGTGGCTGTCCCAGATGGTGGGAGGCCGCCAGAGGCATTTGGTAGGAAAGGCCACAAATGGTATTCACCATCCTACAATACCCAAGACAGCCATGCTGTGAAGACTCAGCCAGCTCCAAACAAGAAGGCCAAGGTTAGTGGGCTCCTGGCTAGAATCTCCTAGAGGTCACGGCTAAACCCAGTCACTTCCATGTCCTGACTCGTCTAGGAGACGGAGATTATCAGTTTGTGAAGTCACCCTTGCTTCTGCCTTCCAGGGACACTTCATTAGGAACTGACTGCCTTGGGTCAGGGAAGCCCAGTTATCCGGAGCCACTCAGATATGTCAGAACGAAACAAACTTATAAACACAGCTGAGGCACGCTTACCCCCAATATCTCCCTTGATTCTGATAGGTTGACTTTACTTGGATGAAATACCTGTGACAAGAAATGCTTTTGATTTTGGATTAAAAAAAAACATAATATTTGCATATTCCTAATGGGATATTTGGTAGATGGGACCCACCTCTAATCATGAAATCCATTTATATCGTACATACATAGCCTGGAACAATTTATTGATGGTGCTGGAATGGACCCGAGGACTCCGCAGGCTAGGCAAACTCTATTCCCGAGTTTATGACCAGACTGCCCATTCTTTTAGATCATTTCGTGGATGAGCTAAAGCATTCACTTGCGGTATCTTGTTGGTACTTCCAACAAGATATTTTAGATTATGAAGCATTTCCGCTTTGGGGATGCCCCCGGAAGTCGGGGAGTCCCTGGGTCCTCTTGTTTAAGACACTTCGTGGCCAGTGAGTCCTCTTGGGTGCCTTTCCCTCTAGGTGGCCTGGCAGTGAGAAAAGAGAAAAAGTCGGGCCAGCCTGAACCTCTCAAGGTTGGGTCCTGAGGAGGCAGAGCCAGAGATGGACGGAAAATGAAAGCAAACCTTGGCTGAACTCAACCTGGAAGGACTTTTCTAGGGCACAATGAAAGGCTCCGTGTATGTGTGGTGTGTGTGTGTGATGCTGCAGGGATAGGGGGCTCAGACATCAGAGTCAGAGCCATTGCATTTTGCCCTGGCCTTAGGAGAAACCTGAACTCTTGTATCCCAAAGCAGGCCTTTGCCAGGGAAATCCACACCCTTGGTCCTGTGTTTTCTGGCTGATTCAGCTTCCTTTGTCCCCAGGCCTGATGACTTTCTTGTCCATGGTGGGGGGTGGGGGTGGGGGAAGGAGGGGTATGGGGGGGGGGGGGGGGCCGGGGGTAGGGGGGAGGGGTGCAGGAGGGAAGGATCTCTCTCGGTCTTCACTCTTCATGACAGACGGTAGTAAGTATTGTTGACTTAGCATAAAAATCTGCCAGCCCCTCTCCCCCTTAAACCATTGGTGACGATAATCTTGATGTCGGAAAGGTGTTGTCCCCAGCCACAAGGGGAAAGTGGAAGCTCACTAGAGCCGGAGTTGGCACTGTCATAGACCCTTATCTCCTTAAAACCACCTTGCTCGGGTAGAATCTGGGTTCTCAGAAACGCCAAGGAACCAGGCCTTCTGCATAAACAAGGCAGAATTAACACTTGGGTCGGGTGTGCGTGTGAAACTTCATAGGGGGCACCTCAGCTTTTGTGTTCCAAAGTCATCTGCTTTCTTCCCCCAAGGACGTGCAGAGAAGCTCTCTTCTCCTCCCACAGGTTGAACTCCTGGGGACAGGCGTTACAGGGACGGCAGGGAGCGTATAAGTCTCCAGTCCTCCTGTTTTGAGGGGTCATCTTCTTCTTCCTGGTCAAACCTGCTTTTGTGAAGTGGGGTGGAAGCTACTGACAGCATAGAAGGCAAGGTAAACAGATCAGCTTCGAACTGAGTCTTAGACTCTGCTCTTATTCTAAGCTGTAGATTCCCTTGTTGCTGGCTGTGGGCCGAACTAAAAACCACCAGCAGAGGGCAGTACTGGCCCACTCTAGATGGTCACTTTAGTCAGCCATTGGACAAGCAGCTTAGACGGGTTTCTGAAAAAGGATTGGGGCATTTAGCCGGTCTCTGGCCTTCTAGCCAGGGGCTAAGGAAGATGCCTAGGTTAAGAGTTCAAAGGCCTTTTTAAAACATTCTCTCTTGGGGGCTGGGGACATAGCTCAGTCTGGCACACGTGAGGCGCTGGGTCTCATCTCTAGCACTGGAAAACCGAAGTCCCTCTTGAACCCGGTTATGTAATCCTGTCTTTGGACTGTCTGGCAAGTGACACGAAGCTTCCATCTGTCCACCTGCTACTGGGAGCACCCGGATATACAGGGGTGGGGGTGGGGAGGAGCCTATCACATGGTAAGCACTCATTATTCAGAGTGGAAAAATCACCAATGCAGGCGTGCATGTAGCTGGCGTGCAGAGAGAAGGCTCTCGGATGGAGGTTGGGCACAGTCATTCAGATCTGGGGAATCAACTACCTCTTAGGAAGTGTCTGCAGAGGCTTGAAGGACTGAGAAGGAAGTCCCTGGAAAGGAAGTGGTGGGAACTGTGTTGGAGGGACCGGCAGAGGGCGCTGCCTTGCCTCCAGGCTCATGGGGGAAACATTGCTACTAACTGGGGCCAGGGGGTGATAACTGGGACAAATCCACACACTAGTGTTGGGACGTGGTGGGGTGTCCCGCGCAGCATGAGACCTGTCTCTGAGTTTCGGGTTGAGGACTGAAGACTGGGGATGTTGAGCCATTGGTAGAGTGCTTGCCTGGTGTGCAGGAAATCCTGGGTTTGACACCCCCTCCCCCCTGCCCCAGCATAGCGTAAACTGGATAAACTGGACGCAGTTTTTATGCCTGTAATCCTAGCTAGGGAAGTAGAGGCAAGAGGATTAGCAATTCAAGGTCATGAGTTCAAAGCCAGCCTGGGCAACAGCAGACCCTGTCTGGGAAAATGGGAGAATGGAAGAAAGGAGGGAGGGAGGCAGGGAGAAAGGGAGGGAGGGAGGGAGGGAGGACTGAAGTTCTTAGGTTTGGGTCCACAACCATAAAGTCCTAGGCACTTTCTGTTTGGCAGCCCCCATCCTGGCTCAGGACATAGAGGAATTTTTTGTTGTTGTTGTTCTGTTTTTCTGCCTCACAGAACCAAACAAAAGCATAGAACATGGGACTCAAAGCCGACTTCTCTTGGGCATGCTTCTCAAGACTGCTGGGCTCCTAGATGGGGCTGCCTTGGTGTTGGGAGGGAGCTCAAGGGCTGGTGGCCCCAGCTGGGGTGGGTGGGGGTGGGGAGGTGCTTGCCCAATTCACCATCTGGGAAAATCTCCCAGACAGACCTCTGCTGACGGGGGTCAGACTCTGAACACCTTGAACCAATGACTGACTCCTTCACACGGACATCTTCCTCTCCATCACCTGCCTATCTCCCGCTGGGATTGGTTCGCCTAGAGTAGTGAAGGGACTTGATGTGTTTCAGAGAGGCTGACACAGATCTGTCATGACGGACGTGGGAGAGGGATTAGCAATAGTTAGGAACACGCTTCATGACACTGAACGTCCTTCACGAAGGCAGCGGGCACTGGACGTGCTTCACGAAGGCAGAGGACTCAGGTAAGAGGACAGAGTGTGACCTAGGCCTGTCACACATGCACGCACGCACGCACGTACACACTCATGGGAGGTGCTGAAGTGGTCAAAGGACTGGTTCAGGGTGACTCTGAAGCCCAGTGCCAGTTGCCTTTAGACCCCAACAGGAGTGACAGCCATGACCTGGTGGTTTCATGTGCCACAACCTGCCCTTGGCAACGAGCGGGTAGGGAGGGTTTTGTAAGAGCCACTGCAGGATACAGGGACAATGCATTGCAGGAGAAGAGTCAAGGAGAAAACCCAGGGTTGGGAGTGTGGGGTGGGAGGAAGGACCAGGACACAGCAACAGGACAAGAGGCAGGGTCGGTCACATGGGGTCCCGTGGGGAAAGTTCAGCCATGTGTGTCCGCGATTAGTCAACTGTGGCCGCCCTAGCTTGGGCACTTGGGGTGGCCACCCCACCATCCCATGGGGCAGGAGGATCCAGTTAGGAGCTGAAAACCCTGTTGGATGAGAGAGGGAGGGGGTTAGTGTCATAGAAACCAGGCTCCCTAGCTTCCTTCAGGTGACCTGGGGGTGACAGAGGCAGCACAGGAGGGCAAGTGCAGGCTAGCCTGGGCTACACAGACTCTGTCTCAGAAAAGCAAACCCCAAATAAACAATAAACAGACCAGAAGGAGTGGGAGGGATGTCCTAGTGGTTTAAAGTTCTCACTGCTCTGACAGAGAACCCAGTTCGGTTTCCAGCATCCATATGTGGCAGGTCACAATTGCCTCTAGCTCCAGGTCCAGCCAACACTCCCTTCTGGCTTCTGCAGGCACCCGATTCCCAGGTGTGAATGTATGCACATGCAACAGAAGTGTAAGCTGCGTGGACAGGGAATGTTTGGACACAGCCAAGCTGTCTGAAGGAGAAACAGTGAGAAGTCTCCGGAAACAGTCATTCTGACGGGGAAAAAGACAACTGAGACAAAGTTCTGCCTGTTTGAAGGGGAAGGTCTGAGGGAAGGGGATGAGGAAGGCATCAGCACCCTGGTCCTCCTGCTGTACGCTGGGAGGTGAGGTTTAAATAGTGAGACTCCGTCCTACCCTCATGACGCTTCAGGCTGTTTCCAGCAACTTCTAGAGGCTATTTTAATTCGCAACCATGACAATGTCTCCAGTGACTTCTGGGACACGGGTGGGGTGGGGAGCATCAAGAGTTACAGTAGTTGGCGGGGAGACCATGGTTCCACTAGGGGGCACCCTGGCCAGGTGTCCCTATGGAGAGCAGACCCTTTGGATCCTTGGTACCCCTAGACCTTGCAAACCACTGTGACCTAACTTTTGAATGCCAGACTTGGCAGGATTGGGGTCACCTGGGGATGTGCACTCCTTTCTTTTATTGAGACGAGGTCCCACATGTACCTCAAGCTGGCTTCCAATGGGCAACCCTTTGCCCTGGTAGCAGCAGGATCACAGCCACGCATTTTGGCCTGCAGACCCCCACCGTGAGCCCTAGCTGCAGCCCACTACAGGGCTGGAGTGGACTTACTCATCTGTGTCTTTTTTGCTTTCTTCAATGAAGGCAATGGACTCAGATCTAAGGCGGTTGGTCACTTCATACGTTCGCAGGGTGACTCCAAAGATGTCCTCATGGTACCGATTGTCATCCTATGGACAGAAACAGCCAGGGGGTGGATCAAAGGGCAGGTGAGGGGTTGGAGAGGAACAGCCAGAGTGATACATGGAGGAACGTATACCCAGACAAGACAGAGGCTGAGCTGAAGGTCCTGGGGTATCTTTGGTCTGTCTTTAAGGCTGTGTGTTAGCAGAGCTCTGCCATTTTGTGCCTCTGGAGGCTGGGCGGCAAAGAATCTATGGGGTGAGCCTTTGCAAAAAGGGGGGCAACCTTGAGGATTGTGAGCATAGAAGAAGCAACGAGGCCTGAAGGGAGCCTCGAGTTCTCTCTCTCCTCCTTCTAACTCTTCCCTTGTAAGTTCAGACCCCAGCAAGGCTGCACTTAGTATGAAATGCCCCAGATTAATGGCGCCAACCGATGGGAGGGGAAAAAAGTAGTTGTAGAGCTAAATGGTCCAGGCTTCCCCAGCAAGCACAGACCCTGTGTTCCATCTCCAGCATAGGAGAAAGAAAGCGGGGTTAGAGGAGGGGGGCAGATTCAGAAGTGATGGGAGCTCCCTTGGCAGAAGTGAGGGGCGGACTGGGAAGTTAAAAAGAATATTCTTTTTTAAAAAACTTATTTATTTCTATTTCATGCATATTGGGGTGCAGGTGTTAGGTCCCCTGGGTTACAGACAGTTTGAGCTGCCGTGTGGGTGCTGGGAATTGAACCCAGATCCTCTGGAAGAGCAGATAATGCTCTTAACCATTGAGCCATCTCTCCTGCCCTAAGAACAATATTCTCTAAGGGTGGCATCTCTGTGGCTGGGAGGAGAGATTGATCTCAATGCTTATGAGAGCAGTGGCCAGGAGCTTGACTTGGCTAGCAGGGCCCACGATAAACCCAGGTCTAGCACCCCGATTCTGCACCAGGGCCTGTGATGTACTCTATTCCAGCACCCCGGTTCTGCAGCAGGGCCCACATCTAGAGAGAGTGGGGGAGATTTCTTTGCCCTAGTCTGCAACGTTCCTGGGAAGCTATGAAGTGTTCCCAGGGGACCAGGTCAAAGACACCAAGAGGGCGGCAGACTCCACAGCACCCCTTATGCCTGGCATGCCTTTTTCCTTCCCCGTGTATGTTTATCCATATGGGTGCATGTGTGTGCGTACGCACACGGGTGAAGGCCAGAGGAGGGCACTGGGTATCTTCCTCCATCACTCTCCACTGATAGACTGGGCTCTCACCGGAACCTAGAGCTCACTGGTCAGCTGATCTCGTAGCCAGCTTGCTCTGGAAGTCCCCAGCTCTGCCTTCTGTGTGTGCTGGGGTCACAGGCTCGCCGCCATGCCCATCTGGCAGTGGGGTAAGTGCAGGGATTTGAACCCAGGTCTTCCAGCGTGAGCAGCATGTACTTTCCCTGCCGAGCCATTCTAACGGCTCCTGGCCACTTTGTAGCAGAAATCTCTTTCCCCTCACTGGGGTTTAGAATGAAGTTTAGAGAAGAGCTTCTAAAAACACATTGGGTTACTGCTTGGGGCCAGTGAGGGGGCTCAGCAGGTCAAGGCACTTGCTACAAAGTCAGCTGACATGTCTTGAATTCCCGAGACCCATGCGGTAGGAGGAAGGAACACTCCGAAAGGCGTCCTCTGACTTTCTCACCCGTGGACCATGACATGCTCTGCACTCCCCCCCCCCCCCGAGAAAACTTGATTGCTTCTCGTTTAAGAAATCTGTAGTGGGATGGGACCACCTCTGGGATTCAATCTCCACTTGGTGGGGGGCGGTGGTCACAAAGCTGGGACTCTGCTGGGGAAGCTGTCATAGGCTGTAACCTAGCCTTCAAGCGCATTAAGGAAAGGCCCTTCCTCTAGGGTGGGCATATTCCATGCCAGGCACGTGGTTTCATGATCAGGCCATGATCAGGCATGTGGGCCGAACTCCAGCCTCCACCTGCCCCTTTTGTTTAGTGCCAACCATATGCAAGCGCACGGGGCTCAGGGCAGCCTGGCTTGGGGGTCAGGAAGCGCTGAGTCGGGACGGCATCAGGCTCGTCCACTTGTCATTTTCACATAGAGAGCCTAAAACCAGACAGACTGTGTGTATGTGTGTGCCTGCATCTGGCTGTGCATCCCCTCTCGGCTGTGGCTGGGTACAGCCCCAATTGTGAGGGCCCTGATTGGGTGAGGGGGAAACTCCCGGCCCCTGGTTGCCAGCGGTCACTCACCCTCAGTCTGCTGATGAACACACCAGCATCCTCCTCTGAGAGCTTCCCCTGCTGGGTCATTATGCGCTGGATGGCTTTGAGGACGTCGGCGGCCATGGTGACATCCCCACAGACATAGATGTGGCCTCCTTGCTCCTTCAGGGCGCGGTACACAGGCTCGGCCAGCTGCTCCTGAAGCACATTCTGCACGTATTTCTGCAGAAGAGGACGACCAGAGAGAGGGGGCAGCTGTGAGAGGCTCTTGTTCCCCCATCCCAGAGGAAGCAGAGTGCGATGTGGGGGCTTATGGGTAGGGGGTAACCATAAGGTAACCTCAGGGAAATGAGGTAACCAGGAAGAGAGAGTGCAAAGGGACCAAACCTCGGTGTGTAGTGAGCTGATCCCAACCTCGGGGGCAGCTTGAGCTGTCTGCTGAGGACCCTCTCCGGGAGGGCTCCCTGTTACCTCCGAGAGGACCACCCCAGCATGCATGGTTCATTTTGACTGTCAGCTTGGTAAAAGCTTTGGGTGTGTCTGTGAGGGGGTCTCTAGACTGGGTTAATGTGGGTGGGCACGCCCACTCTGAACATGGGTGGCACTATTCCGTAGGCCGGGTTCTGGACGGACTTAAGGAGAAGGCAAGCGAGTACCAGCGTTCGCCTCTCTCTCTCTCTCTCTCTCTCTCTCTCTCTCTCTCTCTCTCTCTCCCTCTGCTCTCAGTTACACAGGTGTCTGTGGTTCAGGTTCCGGCCACAATGGCTCCTCACCATGGTGGACTGCAGACGGCACTCCCTGTGAGCTCACATAAAAAACCTCCCCTATTGAAGTGGCTTTTGTCAAGTACTTTGCCACAGCCGTGAGACAAGTAACCGAAACACAAAAGCCTTAGCTATCTTTCCCTTTCCCCAAGGAAAGGTGGTGGCTGCCATTGGGTCAGAGACACTCAGGGCAGGAAGCCAGCGACGGAGCAAGGTAACGGGGCTGCTGGCATCCATGCCTCCCACCCCACCTCCACAGTAAGCTGGCTGTTACAGCAACGACGGGCAGGAGGGCAGAATGGTCATTTGTAGCTCAGGTCCACCACTGTGGGGACATCACAGTGGTGGGGACATGAAGTGACCAGTCACATCCACAGTTGAGGGCAGGGAGGAATGGACGCTCAGTTTAGTCCTGCATTTCCTTCCTTCCTTCCTTCCTTCCTTCCTTCCTTCCTTCCTTCCTTCCTTCCTCCCTCCCTCCCTCCCTCTCTCTCTCTCTCTCTCTTTTTCTTTCCTTCCTTTCCTTTCTTTTTTTCCTTTTGGCCTTTTGAGACAGGGTTTCTCTGCAGCTTTGGAGCCTGTCCTGGAACTCATTCTGTAGACCAGGCTGACCTCAAACTCAGAGATCCGCCTGCCTCTGCTTCCTGATTGCTGGGATTAAAGGTGTGTGCCACCACTGCCTGGCACTCCTGCCTTTTCATTCAGTCCAAAGGTCCCACCCATGAATGGTGCTGTTTATATTCAGAACAAGTCTACCCACTTTGATTAGCTCAATTAAGAAATCTCCCTCCAGCACATCCACAGGCCAACCGAATCCAGACAATCCTCTTTGAGCCCTTTTTCCTGGGTGATTCAAGAGAGTTTCAAGTGGGAAATAAAATCATGTGTGTGCACTGGGTGTGGCCAGGGGTGGTTGGCTCACCTGTGGTCTGTCACGTGTGTGTTGCCGCTGTGCACAGGCATAGTCATGCGTGTACACTGGGCGTGGCCGGCTTACCTTTGGCCTGTCAGGTTCCCGGGAGTAGGCAGTATACAGCTCTCGGAAGACACCCTTGTTCTTGGCCTGCAGGGTCTCCTCTCTGTAGATATGATCTATCTTGGATTGTCGACACCCGAAGACCAGGACCATGGGGCAGGGATTCATTCCTGGGGACCCAGGAGACCCCGTATCACACATGGCTTTGATGCCCAAGTAGGCAGTGGTTGAACTACAGGAACTGGGGTGCCAGGAACTCAGGGTGTGACATACAGAGGACAGACAGCTCACATACATGGGGCAGGTGGTTAAACACACAGGCACACCCCCATGTTTTCACCCACGCACATAGACAAGCACAGCCTGTGGGAACAGGGGACATTCCTTTCCTGGTCTCACTCCTTCACAGCCTGCTACTGGAAAATGCTCAGTATCCAGACCGGAGGCTGATGGCCCCGGGTCTGAGTCACTTCTCTCTCAGAGCCTCAGTTTCCCCACGTGAAAATGGAAGCAGAAGCGACCGCCCAGGATGCAAGGGAAAGGGTGATTGCAGGTGCCCCAGTCCTTCAGATAAAATAGCACAGAATTTTCTAGAACCCCTACACTCTTCCTTTGTGCCTCCACTTACCTCTCTGCTTACAATTGATGCAATGTAAGCTCGCTATTGTTACACTGCACTGTTTAAGGGGAAAATCTGTAGATGTTCAATACAGTCTCCACACTTTTTTCAATTATTTGATGTGCTGTTGGGGAATCAGATTCAGAATTGGGTGTGTAGGTCAATGGTAATACCACCAACCACCTCCTGGGGTCACTGTTCTGTTGGAAACACAGTTGTGTGGGGCATTTCCTTCCTTCCTTCCTTCCTTCCTTCCTTCCTTCCTTCCTTCCTTCCTCCCTCCCTCCCTCCCTTCCTTCCTTCCATTCTTCCTTCCTTTTTCTCTCTCTGTCTCTCTCTTCCTTTTTTCCTTCCTCCTTCCACCCTCCCTCCCTCCCTTCCTTCCTTCCTTTCTTTTTTCCTTCATTTATCTATTTACTTATATTAATCCTCCCTGGCCAGGAACTATGTAGACCATGCTGGCCTGGAACTCACAGAGATCCCTCTGCCTTGGAGCCCTGGGATTAAGGGCAGTGCTAGCACAGCCTGCCTAGGTTTTACATTTGTGCTGCCTTCCCATCTTATACAGCTGGACTCCTTCCCTGATGCCTCTGTAACTGGGGTCTCCCTTCTCCTTATTCCAAACCTGAACTTATCTCGCTCGGCAAGGCCTGCTCTTGTGGTGGTTCACAAGCCAGTCACACTCTCAAATCCATCCGATAGGGATGCGTGCCTATCCTTGGTGGCATATTAGGCTTTTAGGATCAACTCTTAAGACAAGGAAATGCCCTCTGGAGATGAGATTTCAGGCTCCTGGGACAGGCTGTGGAGCAGGTCCGTTTGGATGGGCTATTCAAACTGCACCTGTGGCCACATCGGTATGGCAACCCCTCCTCTCCCCTCCCCAGGCAGTGAGGTGAAGCAGGGTCCTTCCCATCTCTCTCTACCCTCCCCAGGCAGTGAGGTAAAGCAGGGGCCCTCCCGTCTCTCTCTCGAGTCAGAAGTCAGTGGCCCCTGGTCCATATATACCTTTGTGTTGAATGTCAAATTGTCGCTGTTGCCAGAAGCTTCGGAAGGGTGCGATGCCGGTGCCTGGGCCAACCAGGATACAAGGGACCTGGGGATTTCGAGGCAGGTGGAAGCTAGGGGCACTGGGCAGAAAAGACAGAAGCGTCACTGTGTGCTGCTCACGTTGGAGCCCAGGGTATCCCAGGCAGCCATCTTAGAGCGTTTTCTGTTCCTTAGTGGGACCATGGGCCCCTTTAGCGTGGGAATTAGCAGAGTCATTTAAAAGTGAGTTTGCTGGAGCTTGCCTCCTCCTCCATTCCCATCACTTAGCGTCAGGCTAAGCCCCATGGACAAGAAGCCTGAGCTAACCTGGACTTCCTCTGTGTTCTGGCTTTGGGAATTGGGCACCCCTTTGTTGGGAGCTATTGTCTGCAATGTGGGAGTTCAAGCACCACCCTGGTCTCCTACCAACTTGATGTCAGAAATAACTCCGGAGTCATGGCCATCAAAAACACCTTTGGACATCAACAAATGCCCCCAGGGAGGTAGACAGACGGAGAAAATCACCCTGGGTTGAATTTTAAGTTAAAATTTCAACTGTGTGTGAGTATATGTGCATGTGTATGTGTGTGTATGTATGTGTGTTTGTGCATGTGCATGCATGAATGTATGTGTGTGAGTATATGTGCATGTGTGTGTGTATGTGTATGTATGTGTGTATGCATGTGCATGTATGAATGTATGTGTGTGAGTATATGTGCATGTGTGTGCATGTGTATTTGTGTATGCATGTATGTGTGTATGTTTGTCTGTACATGTGCATGTGGATGTCAGATGTCAACATCGAATGTCTTTCTATCATTTTCCACTTTACTTTTTGAGCCAGGTTTTTCCATGGAACCTGGAGTCCCCTGATTCAGTGGCTGCCACTAAGCTCTGTGAACCTGCCTGTCTCTGCCTCTTCAGGCATGAGTCACTCTGCCTGGCTTTTAAGAGGGTGTTGGGATTTGGGTTCAGATCCTTCCTTATACCTGTAAAACTGCAATGAGCCATTGCCCCAGGCCCTGATTTCAGCTTTCCCTTCCACTCTGAGAAGCAGTCTCCAGTCGTCCACAAAATCTTTAATCAGGGGGTCGCAGACACCAGTGCTGAAATGAGCTACCTGGGGATGCTAACATGGACGTGCCCAGGCTATGTGGTCAGGCTGCGCTTTACGAGCGACTCTCTGAGACTCTGATGTGGACAGTAGGCGGTCCATACCACCCAAATCCTACCCTCCACAGGAGAAGAGAGTGGTGGCCAAACCAGTGTTGGATCAGGGTTTTCATTGATGAAAGAGCTGTATATGAGGTGAGGGTCCCAGCTCAGGACCATTCTTAAAATGGGGAAATCTCCTCTAGATGGGGGTGTTTAGTACATCCCAATCTCTGAGAAACCAGAGTGAGAACCAGAAAGAAAAAACATAAACACGGAGCCATCGAGATGGCTCAGCGGATCAAACACGTCCTGTGCAAGCCTGCCGTAGCCTTCCTTGTCCACGAGACTCAGAAAAGAAATCCACTAAAGAAGTACAAAGAGTATAAGGTTGAGAGATATCAAAAGATAGTTTTGGGTGGTCACGCAAGTTATGATGGAAAGTAAATTAGGTACAACACTTGGACTCATCAAGATAGGATATAGGGTATTTCCTCTGAATTTGTCAAATGCAAAGGAGCTGGACGTTGTTGATGCACTTATTCCCTGTATATACTGTAGATAGTTATTGTACTTAATGTATATAGTTTTTCTTATATTAGTTATAACCTTCCTTTTCTATTAGACAAAAGGGGAATATAGTGATACTTTATTTGTGTTTTAATAATCAGAGCTTGCACGGGTTTGAGTTTGATCCCTAGAACCTATGTAAAAGTGGAAGGGGAGAAGTGACCCACTCACAAATCTCACACACATACTGGTAAGTAAAAAGAAAAAAAAATCAACCTGGTGTGTCTGTCACCCTCTGACTACCACCTCAGGGACACCTGACGATGTCTGAAGACATTTCAGGTTGCCACATCATCAAGAATAGATTGTCCACTAAAGGTGGAGACCCTCTTCTCATGGTCTTGTATAAGTATTTATTACCCGGATCCCTGGCTGGATGTGTGTCCCTTGATTCTGTCTCCCTAGCAACTGGAAAGGATGCAGACATTGGTGCTACCCCTGCCTCACCGGTCATCTATCTAGAGCCCTTCAGGCTGAGCCTTCATGTACCCTAATGCACAGGATCAACGCACTGATAGGACATGGCTGCGCCTGTCCTTATCCGTCACTCACCCTCTCACGAAGCAGGGGACTACGTCATCAGCCTGTATCCGGTTGAGCCAGGAGGAGCACACGCCGTGGTGAATGGGCCCTTCCCCATCTAACAGAACGAGCAGGTGGTTCAGACCATCACATTGCGCACTGTCTCACTCTTCCAGCCCCAGCCCTCACCCACAGTCAAGTATCTCCCAGCTCAATGCCAAGGGCTGTGCCTCGGAGTTCCAGACCTGGACCCCTGCCTCTGAAGGGGAAGAGGAGCTGGCACACTCAGAGTGAGTTGAGTGTGCAAGTGCATAGGGTTTAGATTGGTCTGGGTGTGAATACTCAGACCCTGCCTACTTGAGGGCCTGGGTCAGGGTGTTCTGAATGGCTTGTTCATCATGTCTCAGAGTCTCTAGGCACTGTGCACTTCAGTGGCTTGATCGCAACATCACAGCGGCGTCTGTATTATTTAGCTCCAGACAGGCCTGTATGATGCTTCTGTGAGTGCTGCCCGGCAGGGCAGAGAGGGTGAGAGGAGGCCTAGGTGACCCCCCAGACACACACCTTGCCTATTTCTAACCATATTCAGGGTTAGCTCAGCTATGGGACACACTCCATTCCATGGGCTTGACTGGCAGTGTCCTGTAAGAATTTGGGATCTGATCCACAGGTTGTTCAAGAAGAGACCTCCAGATACCTTGAGGGGAAATGCAGATTCAGGAATCTCCCAGCTAGTGCTTCCCCAGGTACGCACCTCGAGTGTGGTAGGAGACAATGGCCACCGTGAGGTGCACTTCATCGGGGTACATGTCTGGGGAGGAGCTGATGGAATAGTAGCGAGGCTGTAGCAGGGACAGCTGGGTGAGGAGAAGCGTGGCCGGCATCTGGATGGACGGGAACTCCTCCAGCACCTCCACCATCGTGGGGTTCTTGCCCCATTTCCACTCCTCGTACTCCTGCAGCCCCTGTGAGGAGAGGACAGAGAGGGGTTTGAGTCGGTGGGGCCTGGAGGGAGACCAGGGGAGCAGTGAGCTGACCTGAGGGTATTCAGTGCCTACAGTGGGGCTAGGCAGCTCTGGCTTTGAAATAGAGCCTCTCTTACAGTAGCGGTTCAAGTGTGAAGTGTCCCCCACAGGCTGTTTGGACACTTGGGTCTCAGTTGGCAGTGCTGATTTGGGAAGTTGTAGAATCTTTAGGAGGTAGAGCCTAGCTGGAGGAAGTGAGTCACTGAGGGCGGGCCTTCAGGTTTTATAGCCTAATCCACTTCCTGTTGACTCTGCTTCCTGACTGCTGTTGCAATGTGACCAGCTGCCTCGTGTGACTGTGGCTATACCTTCCCTCTCAGGATGGCTGTTCTCTGTGGCCTCTCTTGCCTTAAGCTGCCTATTATTGGGCATTTGGTCACAGAGATGGCCATAGCTATTCTGAAATACCAATACCCCAGGCTGGTTAATTGGTTCAGTAGAAATCTATCACTCACGTCCCAGAGGTTCGTGGTTGGGGGCCTAGCAGATATGGTGTCTGGGGAGAATCTATTTTGGTGTAGATCCTGTAGATCCTGGTGGTGCCTACGTGTCTTCACATGGCAGAGGGAGAAGCAGATTTCCTGGTTTCTTTTTATAAAAATGTCTATCTGGCCTATGAGGGTAAAGTCCCTGATGCAATTGCCTTGCAAAAGCCTCTCCCCTCTCTCCTCCATTCCTCCTTACTTCCTTTTTCTTCTTTCTTTCATTCTTTCTTTCTTTCTTTCTTTCTTTCTTTCTTTCTTTCTTCCTTTCTTTCTTCCCTCCCTTCCCTTTTTCTTTCCCTCCCTCCCTCTTCTCTCCCTTCCTCCCTTCCTCCTTTTCCTCCTCTCCCATTCCCTCCCCGTTTCTTTCTGCCCCTTCTTGCAGCACTAGTCCTTGTGACTGAATTCAGAGCCTTGTGCACACAACTGTAGCCTCCAGCTATCAAAGCTGCACCCCCAGCCCCATCCCTACCTCTTGATATCACCCCCTGTTATGTGACACACCAAATCAACTGAGGGAGTTAATTTCGATGTGAGAAGTCTAGGGGCCATAAACACTCACCCTGCAGCCATGGCTTATTATCATCCCATTTCACAGATGAGGTTACAGAGACACAGAGTCCTGGTAAGCTAGGGCTAGGCAGGCCTTGTGTCTGAGCAAGGAATGGCCACCCCTAGCTGGCACACAGATCCACAGCTGCCACACGTTTGTGTGGCCTGTGAGGTAAGAATTGTGTCTACATTTTAAAAGATTTACTTTAAATTTTTATTTGTATGTATGTGTCTCTGTGTCTTTGTGTACACGTGTATGCATGTATGTGTGTGCACGTGTCTGTGTGTCTGTGTGTGATTGCAGAGGCCAGAAGAGGGCGTCAGATTCCCTGGAGCTGGAATTACAGACAGTCGTAAGCCACCTGCTGTGGATGCTGAGCATTAAACCAGTCTTTGCAGTAGCAGCAAGCTCTTTAAAGGCTGAGCCACCTCTCAGCGCATTGACCTCCAGCCGCTGCAGCGGCCTCACTCACTTGCCTGACTGCTGGGTCTGAATCCCCAACGAGAAGCAACCTAAAGAAGGTGGATTTGTTTTGGATTACAATTCAAGGAGACACAGCCAATCGTGGTGGACGAATGGCTGCAGGAATAGGAGGCGGCCATCCCACTGCACACATGCAGAAGGAATGAGGCAGAGGATGCACGGGGACATGGAGCTGGGCTCTAAGACCAAGACTCACCCCTAACAGCCCACTTCTTCTAGGGAGGCCCTGCCTGTTAAAAGTTTCATGTTTTCAAACAGTGCCCACCAGCAGTGGACCAAGTAGGAGCATGTGTGTGTGTGTGTGTGTGTGTGTGTGTGTGTGTGTGTGTGTGCTGTGTTTGTGTATCTACATGGGAGTACATGCACTTCAGGGCAGGTGCCAGCAGAGGCCAGAGGCCCTAATCTCCTGGACCTGCAGTTAACAGACAATTGTAAGCCACCTGATATTGGTGCTGGGAACCAAACTTGGGTCCTCTAGAAGAGCGGCAAGTTCTCTGAACAGCTGAACAAACTCTCCAGCCCCATGTTTCACATTCAAAACATCAGAGGTCTCGTGACCAAGAGCCTCTAATGGAAGACTCTGAACAGGCATTCATCTAAAACTGACTTCCTCGGGCAGTAACCTCTACCTGAACCGCATTCGGCAGCTGTGCTACTGCTGGGCATGGATTCCTGCAGGATGTTCAAGCTCATAACAGATGCCAGGGTGACTCTTTTTAGGGAGCCATGACTTTGGCTCTAGGAACCCCCAAGGACCGTGGACATTTTTCAGAAACCACATTGTAAGTGGTACACTTCCATCTGACCTTGCTCCCTTCCTTCTTCTCTGGGGTCTGCTTTGTTTTGCAGTCTGACCATTCCCTCCCAGCCCCCTCGACCTCCCAGTCTATTTTCTCTCTCACAGGTATTTCTTTCTGACAACAACAACAACAACAACAACACCACCACTAATAAAATTCCACTCACTTGTCTTGGAGACTCTGTGCTTTCCGGAAGAAATGAACTTTATATGAAACTCTCTCTCAAAGAATACTATGCAAAATGTTCCCTCATCATTCTCACCCCCGCCACCATTAATCACAAGTTCCCAGTCCAAATTATACATATTCTAAAAGTTATAAAATCCTGCTAAGCTTAGGATGCAAAATGACGGCCGCCCGTTCTACCATGGCCATCTGTCTCCTGCTCCCCATTCGGAGTCCTCGCTGCCTTCTGGTGTTTATTTTCACTTTTCTCGATAATGTGCACTTGCTAATGAGCCTCCCCCTTGCTACTCACCACCCAGTCCACTTTCTTGGATAGCAAAAGAAATGGCCTCTGCTGGGGGGCTTGCTTCCTTGGAAGGAGGCCCCCCTTCCTGGAAACACTGGGGTTGGGTGATCTACCTGAGTAGGTAGATGTCTTTATTTTAAATTATATTAGTTTTAAAATTTTAGATTTAAGCCAGGAGGTGGTTCCAGAACTTGGGAGGTAGAGGCAGGTGGATCTCTGTGAGTTCGAGGCCAGCCTGGTCTACAAGAGCTAGTTCCAGGACAGGCTCCAAAGCTACAGAGAAACCCTGTCTCGAAAAACAAAAAACAACAGCAAAAAATTTTAAATTTATTTTATGTGTCTAAATGTTTTTCATGAGTGTGTGTGTGTGTGCATACCATGAGTGTGCCTGGTGATTCCAAAGGTCAGAAGAGGTTATCTGATTACCTGGAACAGGGGTTATGAGCCGCCATGTGGGTTCTGGGAATAAAACCCTGGTCCTCGGGTCCTCTGCAAGAACAGCCAGTGCTCTAAAGGGTTGAGATATCTCTTCATCTAAAACCCTACATCTTTCATGTTCTGTGCACAGGAGTGAGTGTGTCTGACTGTGAGACTATGAGGGTATGTGCACATACAAGTAGAATTCAGAGGGCAGTTTTTAGGAGTAACTTCTCCTTCTGCCATGTGGGCCCAGGGGATTGAACTGAACCTAGGTTGTCAGCATGTGCCTTTATCCACTGAGCCATCTTGCAAGCCCTGTTTTTGTTTTTTGACAAGTCTCATGCATTCCAGGCTGACACTGAATTCTCTGTGTAGGTGAAGATGGCCTTGAACTCCTGATCCTCCTGCCTCCGTGGTCTAGTTCAGGTCTAGTTCATGTGGTACTGGGGATTAAACCCAGGGCTTCCTGTGTGCTTGGCAGGAACTCTACCCACTGAACCACATCCCCAGCCTTAGCTGCCCTGCTGAGCAAGGACAGAGAGCAGCTTGGGTTGGGACCTTCGTGTTATCCAGGCAAGGGTGGTAAAGCTGCTGGGTTCATTTGATCACCAGAGGTCTCTTGTCTCTTTTCTAGCAATCTTTTTTTTTTTTTTTTTGTAGCTATTCTGGACAAGAAAATACCACTGTTCTACCACCAGAATCCAACCTCTATCTGTAAATTCACTGTGATGATCTCTGCTACCTTTTCTTCCATGCATGGGTTAAGGTGGTGCCGACAAGAGCTCAAAACCACAAAGGAAGGCGGTAAGAGTTATTATAGTAATCCCTGCTGAGTTTCAGGAACGGTCCCACTCAATTTTATCAGGCTCGGGAGCTGGGAGAGTCAGATGGGACAAGCCAATATGGCGACCGTATGCAAACGAGGCCACGCCCCTTACTCACGACTGCCATCTGCTGTGAACACTTGGAAGAGCATATTCATTGCTTTTCCAAGACCCGGGACCAACCTTGCTGAGGACCAGCAGCCGCTGCTTCTCTTTCTCGCTGGTGGCCAGGGAGGCGAACTGCTGCAGCTGCAGCGGCGTGGGTGGCGTGGTGATGTCCAGGTAGTACTTGAAGGCCTGGAAGATGGTGCAGGGTGGGAGGCGGGGCTCATCCTTCCAATTGCTGATGACACCTGGGGAGGCACAGTGGGGACGATGCTCGGGTCACCTAATCCTCACCACACTCGTCACCCCAGGTGCGGAAGAGGAAGCACAGGGAAGTGAAGGAATCTAAGGGCCACACGGCTTTCGGGTGTGAAGGCAGGCCTTCTAGCCTCACCCCTGGCTCTAACGACGCTGTACCCCTGGCTCTCCATGTCCATGGCAGAGGAATGAAAGCAATGGAGGGAGAAGGAGGGGGAGGGGGAAGGGGAGGGGAAAGAGGAGGGGGAGGGGGAGGGAGAACAACTTCATCTGTACTGAAATGTATAGACTTTTTTCCTTGTCATTATCTGTAAACACTATGGTGTAGCGACTGTTTATAGGGCATTTATACCGCACTGGGCAAGCCATCTAGAGAGGGTTTAAAGTATGCAGGAGGACGCACATAGCGGCGTGTAAATACGACGGTGTGCGTAGGTGTTACGTAAACACAACACCTTTTCCATAAGGACTTGGGTATGCATGGATTCTGGCATCTTCTAGGGGTCCTGGAACCCTTCCTCCACGGTGGGAGGACTATTCTGCCTCTGTGGACCTTCCAAACATGACCCCCTACCTCATTGTGAGCTCGAGACATGATGGAAATTCTGGTCTAACGCAGAGAACTACATGCGATTAGATTCCCTAAGGAGGGCATGTCTCTTCATAGTGGCTCCTGCCAAGAGGATTTGCAGGAAGGCTTTGGCAGACAGCATGTCATTTTCATGTGCTAGTTAGCTCCCCTGCAAAGGTGACAGCCATGGTGTCACAGGCTGTCAGGTACGGCCGGCCATCACAGCTCCTTGTACTGGCGTTTGGAGCCCATTCCCTATCTATGAGGTGAAGGCGGAGCTTGGAGACCCATCAGCTTTGAAGGTTCTTCAAACCAGGTGTGACAGGCTGTATCTGTGGTCCTAGTACTTAGGAGGCTGAGGCAGGAGGGTTGAAAATTTGAAGTCAGCCTGGTCTACATAGAAAAAGGAAAGAAAGGAGGAAGTAGGAAGGGGAAGAGGAAAAGGATGAAGAAAAAAAGTGAAGGAGGGAGGGAGAAAAGGGAAGGAAACAGAGAAAGAACCAGAAGCACAAAGGGAGGGGAGGGAGGAAGAGAAGGAACGGGAAAGAAAGAAGAAAGTGAAGGAGGGAAGGAGGCTATGGGTGATCCATCCATCAACTAAAGTGAGGTAGGGAGCCCTCACTGACAGGCCAGCTGTGCCCTGGTGGCTACTCTGCCCACTTGGAGCTGCGGCTCTCGCAGCCCTTCCGTTGGGTGCAGCTGGACCCTCACCCAGAGCTGTGTTCCTCTCTTCCAGCATCTCCACCTTCACCATGTGGTTGGCGGGCGGCGCATCCTCCAGCCGCTCAATGAGCGCATTCACGAGGTCCTCGTGGTTGCCAGGGAAGACACCTAGGTGGTCGCCTGGCTGGTACTGCAGCTCCTGATTCCCATTGGTGTGGAGACGCACGAAGATGGTTGATCGGCTGCAGGGAACGAGGGGGATCGTGGGACAAAGACCGCCACCCTGTTCCTACTCGGCCCCTGGTCTGTCGGCTGCAGATCCCTCCTCTCATATTCCCTAACTCTGGGCTGGTAAGGTCCATGCCTAGCTCTCAACCTCATAGCCTTCCCCAAGCTCCAGTCAGCTCTCCATCACAGAGCCAACATCCGGGTCCTGGACCAGGGACATCACTCTCAACTCTTTTCTGGGGGCCAGCCCCCAAGCTCTCATGGCCTCACTGGTATTCCTAGCTAAATTTTTAGGCTGTCCCATCTTATCCCTCAAGCTCTGAGGCCTGATACAGCCTGCTGTTTTGCCTGAGATCCATTTGTTCCCCGTTTCTTCCTGTTTTTGCCTCCCTTTCTTCCTTTATGGTTTACTTCCTTCTGCAATGGATGAGCCTTGCTAGGATAATAGGAACACCATGGCACAGAGCATTGGTCTGTTTTGGCTGTGGCTTTATCCCCATGACAGTGGCTGGCACATAGTATGTCTTTGGAGTCCTTACCGAATGAAGGGACTTCAGGCTTCCAGGGTTCACTAGTGGCTAGTCATGTCCTTAGTACCCATCAGGGTTCTCCTAAGGACCAGAACCTCACTGGAGCTATACACAGGGTGTCTCCGATTTATGAAGAAGTTTCATTTCTTATTTCTCACAGAAATTCCACGCTCTCTTAATTTTTTTTTAAACAGGTATGTGTGTGCACTCATGCACGTGGTGGTGACGGCGTGTGCGTCCCATGGCACGTGTGTGGGGGTCAGAGGACAACTTAAGGGACTTGGTTCTCTTCTTGTGATCTACAGGTCTCAGGAAATTGGATTCGGGTTGCCAGGCTTGGCAGCAAGCACCTTTATCCACGGAGCCCTCTTGCTGGCCCTCCACTCTCTTTTGCAAACAAGGTCCCTGTTGCAGTATAAGAAGGCCTGGGCAGAGGCTCGGGGCCTCTTCCGAGTAGACAGACACATCAACGTATGAGAGTGCTCGGCTTGAGGAAGGGTGTATACCTGCTCACACCTGCCTGGGTTTGTGTGTTTCCCCGTTCAGGAGGCCCACGCTAACCAGCTACTTCAAGGATGAACTCTTGGGGCTGGAGAATGGTTCTGTGGTCAAGAGCTCTCGCTGGTCTTGCAGAAGACCTAGGTTTAATTCCCAGCACTCACGTGACAGCTCACAGCCATCTGCAACTCCAGTTCAAAGGGACGAGGATTCCCGCTTCTGGGTACTGCACATTTATGGTACATGGATACACATGCAGACAAAACATCCACACACATAGAATAAAATAAAACTTAAAAAAAAACCCCAAAAGAATGAATTCTTGGGGCTGGAGAGCTGACTCAGTGGTTAAGAGCACTGGCTGCGCTTGCAAAGGACCTGGGTTAGGTTCCCAGTGCCCACATGGAGGCTCACAGCCATCTCCAACACCAGCCATTGCTCTTTCCCTTTGCCAATTGGTCTCAGTGGAGGGAGAAACTCGCATCCCCCACAAGTAAATCACACTTGAGTAGACCAAGAACCCTTGCTATTTAGAGATGTTTTTGGCACAACCAAGAGTCCCTTTGTGCTAGGAATAGCCACCGTTATTAAAAATAGCTAAACTGGCACATGTCTTTGTGTGTAAGTGGGGTGGATAGAGTGTGAAGTCATCTCTTGAAGCCTGGTACTTTGTTTGGGGTATGATGGGGAACTCGAGAAGCCTAACTGTGCGTTCCTAGGGTTTGGGATGCACTTCCCTCTCCCAGGAGGGTCTTGCCCTCTCTGGGATGCTGAGCTTGTCAGTTTCAGCAGCTCATGTGACTTGTTTTTATCTCTACCTCACATCAGCCTTTAGCTCCTCGGAGCAAAGACACCACCACCACCATAGCTTTCACTGGTGACGGAAAGAGCGTGACAGCAGCCACTAGCCAGCAGGGGGCGCTGCAAGGCTTCTCATTCAGGAGCCTGTTGCTCAAGCAGAGTAAGTCTTTGAAAAGCTTTCATTTCAAATCAACACCCAGTTTCTTCCCTGCGTCAGGACTTGTTCCCAGTGGGAAGGCCAAGGGCCTGATCCTGCTGAGCTGGCTGAGGCTCACCTGCTTCCCCCAGGCCTCCTGACCCTGCAGGCGATTGGACAGTAAAGAAGGGACAGGAGAGGGACAGGGTGTGGCCAGCAGGTGCCTGGAAGGTGGGTCCAGGTTCCATCCCATCTGGGATTTTGTACAAGATGACATGACTGGGTGCCCAGGGAACCTGGGTGGACAATCCTCGACATTTTGCTGTGAAGTTGAGTTTCACTGGCTAATATCAATTACGGTCATGCTCAATTCTGTTGCATTTTTTCTACGTTCATTAAGCTCTGGGATAGGGATTTTTTTTCTTTTCCTTCCTTCCTTTGTTCCCTCCTCCTCCTGTCTTCTTCACAGATTCTCTCGCACGGTAGTTCAAGCTAGCCTGACGCTCATTATGTAGCCCACAGTGGCTTTGAATGTTCGGTGTGAGGCTCATCTCATGTGGTCTGCTGAGCAGCCGTGGGAGAGACGGGCCATGTGGGAAGCAGTAGTCATTCAGGCCTTGTGTTCCTCTCTCCTCACAGCCTGTCCCATGTCCTGTTCATTTTTTTCACATACAGAAGTGTCACTTACATGTACTCAGACACACAGGCGGATAGATGCACATGCAGATACATGTGTGCACACGCAAAGACACACAGACACATACATAGACACGTAAAGACAGACAGACACACTCATGGCAGTGGTTCAGATAGGTTCACTGGCAAGACAACAATTGTCTAACGCCCTGTATTAGATAGAAAAATCCGAACAGCTAATAACTCCATCTGGCCAGAGGGTAACAAGAGCCTGAGCTGGCTGCCCCAACGAGATGCAGTTGTCATTATGTGCTCATGTGGCTTTGGGCACCGGGGAGAGAGTGATGGACGGGGAGAGTGGGCGGGCCATCTTATCCTCACTGGGAAGTCACTGAAAGGCCTCACAGGGTCAGGGCAGTGGATATGTGGCAGCGGAGGGGAGGGTGGTATAAGGGAGACAGTGGTCACTCGGGAGCTGCTATTTGACATAAGGTGGATCGAACACACAGAGACCTCTGGGCAGGGTGATCGAGGAGAGAGAGTCAGCAGAAGCCCAGGGCGGAAAAGGGGAACAGCACATTAGGAGAGCGGAAATGGTGCTTTCTTCATTTTATGTTGATGGTGTTGTGCTAGGTTGTCCAGGCTACCTTCTAATGCACTCTGTAGCCCAGGCTAGCTCTGAACTATACATGCTAGGCACATCAGGAACTCACAATCCTCTAAAAGGCATGTGCCACCATGCCTGGCCATGACTGCTGAGTTTGAGAGAGGTGATGGGTGGGTTCCAGGGGCCTCTTCATGACCTGTGTGATCCCAGGGGCCTCTTCATGACCGACCAGGCAAAGATTTCAGAGAATCCCCTTTGATCAGCAGGAAGCACTATAGGCTGAGAGTTGGGGGAAAGAGTGCCTCCACTTCAATTAGCATTTTAAAAAAGATCTCTTGGGCTACCTTATCTCAAAACCATACAGAATATCTGGCTAGAGAAATGCTCTGTAGTAAGCGTGCTTGCCCCTCAAGCAGAGGGCCTGCGTTCAGATTTCCAGTCGCAAGTAAAAATCATGGAGGTGGCGTGCGTCTCTAATCCCACAGCTGGAGAGGAGGGGGCCTGGGGCTCACAGATCAGCAGTCTAGTTGAATCGGTCAGTGACCTCCAGGTTCAATGAGAGCCTACTATCTAAAACACTAAGGTTGAAAGTAACTGAGGGGATTCCACCAGTCACCTCGGGCCTCTATACACATGTACACACATGCGCAAATGTGTACAGCCCACATGGACATAAAGATCGCTCTATTCATGTCCTTCGAAAATTCCCTTTGTGCCCTCCAGTTCACATTTCCCTTTCTAGGCATCTTCTGGGAATCCCACTCTCCTTACCAATCCATCCCAGTTCTTCAGTCTCTCCCCTCCCCTTGACTTCTAGAATTTTCCATTTCTATCCTGCCCACACTCACTCCATTACACCCTCTTACACATTGTTTTTCCTAATTACTGTGCCTGTATCACAAAATTTGTTTCTAAGCAGGATGCAGAGTAGGGTCGCTCTGCATGGGTCATACATCAAAAGACACTAACTTCCCCCTTGGCACCGTACCTGTAATTAAGGATTACTAGTGGGAACGATTTGTGATATTTTGTCTATGGTTTCCTAGGCCAGAGAGGCCCCCTCTTTGGCCTGGGCCTGGGAAAGTGGGTGAGCTATGCTTTTCCACTCAATTATACTTAAATTCTATAAAGCGTTATCTTTTAAAAATATATTTAGCTATTTTTATTTTATGTGTATGTGTATGGGTGTGTTTATTTTATGTGTATGTAGATGGGTGTTTATTTTATGTGTGTGTGTGTGGGTGTTTATTTTATGTGTATGTGTATGGGTGTTTTACCTGCACGTACATTTGTGTACCATGCTTGTCTGGACCCACAAAGGCCCAAAAGAGGGCATCAGATGCCCTGGCACTGGAATTATAGGTGGTTGTGAGCCACCACGTGGGTGCTGGGCATTGAACCCAAGTCCTCTGGAAGAGCATCCAGGGCTTTTAACACTGGCCCATTGCTCCAGCCCCCACACTTCGGTCTGCTAGTTCATAACTCTTTTAACTCTATTCCAGTTCCTAACCTTGCTTGGCAAATTCCTTTATTAATCTTGGAAACTCTGCTGGAGTTGGGTCCCTCCGGGAGGTAGAGTGAAACAGATTCCAAGGTCATGTGCCTGTGTGAGAACCATGCTCTTGGGAAGACCCACTCCACACTGGCTTTTCATGGACTTTTCAAAGCGCATGACTCCTTGATGCACTTAGAATCCCTCTTGCACCACCATGTCAGTGGAGACTTTCCATGGGAAAGAATTGGGACACCAGGCACGGCTTTTCCACAGCCCTCTCTTCAGATGTCCCTATGCATCTAATGCTGCATTGAACTGTTCAAAGATACTAAGTGCCTGATCTATTCTATTAATGTCTGAGAATATTTGAGGGGGAGTTCAAGAGGCTCGGGGTTCTGCCCTGCTGACCTCTCTAATCAAAGGCTCAGAAGGGCACGCAAGAAGAGTGCATGCTAACTATGCAGGTAGCACGAGGAGGCGGGGAGAAACAATGGATCCTGTACTGTGCCAGCCGCTTTAGGAGGATCATTTTCAATGGTCACAGCAGCCTGGCAAATGAGACGGAGACCATCTGTGGAGTCATTTGGTGTGGTGGCCAGATAACCAGGTCAGTGTGACCTTGAAAAAAGACACTTGCATTTTCTCCTGGTTGCTTTTCATATCTAACATGTGAGCAATTGTGACCTTTATTTCCTGGACGGGTGTGAGTTAGAAATAGCGTTCTGGGAACTCTGCTCAGTGCACGGAAGACAGAGAGTATCAGATACAAGTGAGCAAGCTTGCTGTCAGTGGTTCCGTGCTATAGTGAAGGAGAAAGGACCTCAGAGCATCCCAGTGACTTTTTAAGAAATGCATTTATTTTCATTTTGTCTATGAATGTTTTGAATGTATGTATGTTCACTGCTACCCATGGCAACCAAGAGAGGGAGCCACATACCCTGGAACTGGAGTTCCAGATGGTTGTGAGCAACCATGTGGGTGCTGGGAACCGAACCAGGGTCCTCTGCAAGAGCAGCCAGTGTTTTTAGTCACTGGGTCCCCTCTCCAGCTCTCAGTTCCACACCTTGGGACTTTCCCAAGGTTGCATGTGTTGGAGAACTGGGGTCACTGCAAAGACACACCTCAGCTGTAACTGAAAAGTGAAAAAATAAATCCCAAGAGGGATCAGCACAAAGACTTAATTATTAAAGATGCTGAGCGGCAGCCAGCCTGCGCGTGATCATTCTGAAAGAGAGGTGCCTGGGCTCAGCGAGGACACAGGCTTGGGGGGCTGGCTGTGAGGACAGTGTCGCAGGACAGGTGATATCAGCGTGTCCTGTTCAGGCTGGTGATGGCGGTAGCTGGCCCGACAGTTATTGGTGGTGATCATGTGATCTCTGCTGCTGGGGTAGTGATATTCCCAGTGGAGGAGTAAGAGCCTGTAGTTAAAGCCCGAGGCTCTGGAAGCCGGGTCTTAGGAAAACAGCTTGGAAGCAAAGGGACCCAAAGGATACGGGTCAGTGTCCTTGGTCATGTAAGTCTCTTGGGAGGGAAAAATGATTTGTTTTGGGCGTTGCTGAAAAAAACTGTGTTTTTTTTTTTTGTTTATTTGTTTTTTCTAGATGGGGTTTCTCTATAGCTTTGGAGCCTGTCCTGGAATTAGCTCTTCTAGACCAAGTTGGTTTTGAACTCACAGAGATCCCCCTGCCTCTGCCTCCCAAGTACTGGGATTAAAGACATGTGCCACCACCGCCCAGCTAAGATAACTGTGTGGGTTTTATTTTATTTATTTATTTATTTATTTATTTATTTATTTATTTAGGTTTTTTGAGACAGGGTTTCCCTGTGTAACAGTCCTAGCTGTCCTGAAATTAGTTCTTGTAGACCAGGCTGGCCTAGAACTCACAGGGATTCACCTGCCTCTGCCTCCTGAGTGCTGGGATTAAAGGCACGTGTCACCACTGCCCGGCATGCTAACTGTGTTTTAAGTCAAGTGGTGAGATTCAAAATGCAGTTCAGCGGCCCAGCACTCACCTAGTGTGTGTAAGATCCCAGGTTCAATCCCCAGCATTGCATACAACAAAAGTCTCACCCACCCCCCTGCCCCTGCCCCAAGTGCTAAGACAAACACACTCTCTATCAGATAGCAAGGTGTTTGTCTATAGCACAGAGTGAATTATTTGGCTATGCTGGGTAGTAAGATAATTTCTAGGGCTGGGGAGATAGCTCATTGGGTGAAAACATTTATGACACAAGACTAAAGACCCGAGTTCAGCTCTCTACAGCCTATGAAAAGAGTTCATAGGGCTGGAGAAACGTCAAAGTGGTTAAGAGCACTGGCAGCCATGGCAGAGGAGCCAGGTGTAGTTTCCAGCATCTACATGGTGGCTCACAATCACCTGTAACTTCAGCTTGAGGGTATCGGACACTCTCCTGGTCTTGGCAAGCCCATACCTCCCCACCCCCAACACACACACACACACACACACACACACACACACACACACACACACAAGCAACAATGAAAAACCAAATGCAGAGCAAGCATGCCGGAAAAGCCCAGCACCCCATAGGAAGGGGCAGGAGGGTTCACAGAAGCTCCACGGGCCATGTTGGGCTTGTGCAGCAGTGAGGAGTCCCTGTCTCAGATGAGGTGGGACGTAAGGGTGGACAGTCACTCAAAGGTTGTCCTCTGATCTCCCTAGGCACACGGTGGCACACAGTCACTCCCACAGATAATATATTATAGATAGGGGTTCGAATCAAAGAGCAAGCTGTTCTGGGGTGCACCTGCCATCACTCCATAGTACAGGTAGCTATTTTTGCAGCCCTCGAGAGCAGTGGTCCTCAACCTTCCTAGTGCGACCCTTTAATACAGTTCCTCAAGATGTGGTGACCCTTAATCATAAAATTATTTTTGTTGCTACCGTAATTTTGCTACTGTTATGAATTGTAATGTAAACAGCTGTGTTTTCCAGTGGTCTTAGGTGACCCCCCCCCCCATGGAAAGGTCATTGGCTTCCCCAAAGGGGTCGTGACTCACAGGTTGAGAAACATTCCTCTAGCAAACAGTCACTCACAGTAAGCTACTTGGATTAAGCACTTTCCAATGGAGATGCTGCCTCCAGAGAACACTATACTATTTCACAAGGGGGCAGCCTGCTAAGATCACCCCGAGGCCCATTTCTTTCTCAGCATTATATATGATTGACACTTCTCCTTCGTCCCTGTCTCTAGCTGGGGACATGGGGACATAAAGGAGTCCGTGGACCTGGTGTGAGGGGCTCCAGGAGCTTTCAGCGGTCTCTGGAATCTGAGCTCTCCTTCCTGGGAGCGGAAGGGATTGCCGCTGAGCGAGTGTTCCTACCTGGACTTGGGGCTCTGCAGGTTTTGGCGGCTAAGGAATCGAGCGGCTGAGACTCGCTTTTTGTGCACGTTGGAAAGACCTGTGAGGAGAGAAATAATGGCCACAATGAGAGGGCTTTAAACAAAGCTCCACAAAACCTCTCCACCTTTGGGTATGTGTGTGCATGAATGTATGCATGAGATAGTGTGTGTGCCGGTGGATGTGTTTGTGTATATGTGTATGTATAGGCCAGAGGACCCTGAGCTGTCATTGTTTAGGTAATGTATAAATTTATCTTCTGAGACAGCGTCTCTCACTGGCCTGGAGCTGGCCAGTTTGGCTAGGCTGACTGGCTAGTAAGCCCCAAGGTTCTCTGGTTTCCTCTTTCTCAGTTCTGGGACTGTAAGCATGCACCACCATGCCTGGCTCCTTCATGGGTTCTGGGGAATCAACGCAGGTCCTGGAGTCTGTGAAGCCTGTCCTTTACCAAGTGAGCCACCTCCTCTGACCCATTTCCAACTCTTCCTCTGGAGGGGAAAGGATGAGGGTGGGGGTAGATATCAGTGGGGCTGGGTGAGGTGGTTGCAGACACGGAACCAAATGCCAAGGTGGATGGAATGGAGGTGGGGATGGTTTGTAGGCAGGCTGTGTGACTGGAGAGAGACTCCTGATTATACAGTACCCTGCACGTGGGGACAAATGTATGACCTGTGTGATTCAAGGGCTTCTCTGAAAGGGGGACCAGAGTGATAAAGCCACCACTCCCACACGCCCTTGAGAGGAGCTCTCCTTCCCAACCCTCCCTAAGCTTACAAAGGCCTCCCAGTGTCAGGTACCTTGTGTCAGCTCTGGAGCTTCAGCCACATAGGTGAGGCGGAACTTGTTCCTCTTCCAGCTGCGGTCGTTACTGATGAGGGAATTGTTTGCCTTCTCGATGTTGACGTCATCCCCCACGCAGAACACATCACAGGCTGCCTGTGACCCACACAGAGTTTCTGGTGACCTCAGTTATGCTAGATGGTGCCTTCCCAGGAGCGCCAAGGCATGGCATGGATACCTCCTTCCAGCCCTCTTTCTCTCTCCCCTCTCACCATTTTCTTTCCTCCCTCTCTTCACTCATTAATCCATATACCCATTCTTCCTTCTACCATCTACCCACCAACCCACTTACCCACCCCTTCATCTACCTACCTGTCTGTCCATCTATCTTATCAACATTTTCTTCCATCCATTCAACTAAACATCCATCCATCCATCCATCCATCATCTAAGCATCCATTCATCCAAGCATCCATCCATCCATCCATCCACCCATCCACCCACCCACCCACCCACCCATCCATCCATCCATCCACCCATCCATCCACATACACACCTACTGTTCTATACACCCATCTATCTGTCCATCTCCACATAATATTTCATCCACTTACTCACTCTTTCATATCCATCCATCTACCCCACCCATCCATGTACGCATCATCACCCTCTATTCTAAGCAATGGCTTGAGGTCCTCACCTCTACTAAAGACACAGCTATAATGACATTTATTACTAAATCCCACATACCCAGAGGCTTAACATTAAAAATTAAAGTAAATGCCATAGAAGTTATTTTTGTCTTCTTCAAAATATTTAAAATAATTACACAAAGGCAGAACAAGCTGTCTGGATACACATTTTTTTCTTGTTTGTTTCCTTTTTGGTCAAAACTCCTTTATCAGCAAACATTAATGATCCCAAGATTACTGCTCAGAATGATTTGCAAACTTTTTCTGAGATAGGTCCAGGTAGCTCTTGAACCTTCAGGTCCCAGTAATGCCCCTGCCTCATCCTCTCTCAAATAACTGAGACTGAGGCATCAACAACCATGGAATTACTATTTCCGGTGAAATTTAAAGTTTTCAAACATAGCTTTATTATTATCTGACTGCGTGCCTATTTCAAAACAGTTGACTGTTCATCAACATAAAAATAGAAAAGCCAAGTATCATGTGGTGTAATATTATTTGGCCACAAGAAGGGATAAAGTGCTGGCACATACTACAACGTGGATGGACCTTAAAAACTTTGTAATAAGAGAAAGAAGCCAGTCATAAAAGGTTCTGGTATTGGACTTCGTTCATATGAACAAGAAAAATGTCTGTAGACACAGAAATGAGTCTGGTGTGGGACAATGGTCTGTATTCTGTCAATTATATTTTAAGTAAAGGCTGATTGGCCAGTAGCCAGGCAGGAGGTCTAGCAGGACAACTAGACAGGAAGTAGAGGTGGGTCAAGGAGAACAGGAGAATTCTGGGAAGAAGGAAGTCCTAGTTTGCAGTCGTGACCCAGCCACAGAAGTAGTAAGATGTGACTGCCTCACTGAATAAGGTACTGAGCCACGTGGCTAGCATAGACAAGAATAATGGGATAATATAAGTTATAGGAGTTAATAAGAAGCCTGAGCTAATGGGCCAATCAGTTTATAACTAATGTAGACCTCTTTGTAATTTCTTTGGGGCTAAATGGCTGTGGGACCTGGTGGGTCAAGATGAGTCACTGTTCAATCTGAGGGTGAGATGGAAAACCAGAATTGTCAACAGTAGCAAAATTACAGTTATGAAATAGCAACGAAAATAATTTGATGGTTGGGGGTTACCACAACACGAAGAAGTGTATTAAGGTGATAGGAAGGTTGGGAACTACTGGTTTGGGGGCTTCTCAGGGGCCTGGCCTTTGGGATGCTGTTGACTGACGAGAAGAGAAAACACAGTTATCTCGGACGTGGATGAACTTGAATTCATCTCGGCTCTCAATGTCTGGATGGAAATCTAGGAAGAGGCGTATAGACACAGCTCCCTCTAATAACTCATAGACCCTTGGGCCTCAGTTTCCTTTTTGGCCTTTGGCACAAGTTCAGTGACAGAAGCTGCCCAGGACCCTTCCTTCTGGGGTTGCTGATAAGGACCAATTCCAGGGCAGTGGACAGAGAGACTAAAAGTCACAGGGCCACTCTGGGAAAGGTGTATGCTAAGGTTGCTCAAATTCACCGGAGCTGTATCCTGGCTGTGGACATTGAGGGAGGACCCTCCTTTGCCTATCCTTCTCTCTTTCCTTCATTTTCTTTCTGTTTGCCTCCCTCTCTCCCTTCCTCCCTCCCTCCTAACTTTTCTTACTTTACATTTCTACCCCCATCTCCTTTCCTTCCCTTCCACAGGTTACAACCCTGTGCCTCCTGCTTGCTAGGCAAACACACTACCACTGAGCCACACCCCATGGACAGCTTGGCGCTTTCTCGGGTACAGTGGGTCTCCTACCTTGAAGACCTTCTTGGCCCAGGTCCTGAAAGCCTCTTCCTGCCCGCAGAGCTCATCCCCCTCCCTCATCTTCAGAATCCTCTCCCCTCCTAGCTCCTCCAGGAGGGTGTCCACTGCGTGCCCGAAGGCACAGAAGTGAGGGTACGCCCGAGAGCCCAGGCCGAATACTGAGAACCTGTCCAGGAGAAAGCAGAAGGTCTGTGATGGAAGGATGCAGGGTGTGGGGTGTCTAGTCCTACAGGCTGATTAGTGTGACCTTGAAATTCATGCACCGGAATCCTGAACTCTGTGGGATTGTATGTTGGAACAGGAGCTTTAAGAAAGTGATCAACGTTAGTAAGATCCTTATAAAGTCAATCTCCTCTCTTCTTCCTCACCCTCCTCTCCACCTCTTCCTCCACCCTCCTCTCCTCCTCCTTCTCTAACAAACTGCTAAGAGAAGCCAGTTGAAATCTAACCCTTGCTGAACTCCTAGCTTTCAGAACAATGAAAAACCACATTTTAGTGGAAGGGTGACTTTAATCCCAAGAGTCCTTAAGACCCTTCTTCCTCTTAGTCTCTGACAGTGATGATTGTCCTCAATAGAAGGTTCCAGTAGTTTCTGAGGAAGGAGAGGGCAATGAGAAGGAAGCATTGGCTGTTGGGTGTAGTCTCCTCTGTTAGCTAGACCACGGAAGAAGAGAATCTCATCAGGGATGCTTCCATTTGCCACGAGTCAATGTCTCAAGGATGGCCATGAGGATTCTAATGTGGTGGCCGTTGGGGATCTGACCTAACAAAGTGACCCGAAGGACTTTTGAACATATCACACGTTGGTATAGAAGTGGGATTTTCTACAAGGGAATGATAGAGTCGTGCACACTGTACGTGCATGCTGTACCCTTTCTAATGTCTGTGAAATTAATGTTTCACAAGCTCTCTCCACCAAGAGAACATTGGTATTTGGGCCAGTGGGGGTGAAGCTAATGTGAGTTTTCTCCATGCTGAGGTGGGGATTGTAGTACTGGGGAGGGCGGTGGACCTTATTTATAGGATTTTTGTTTGTTTGACTCAGGGTTTCACAAAGCCTAGGATGACCTTGAACTCTGTCTCTCCTGCTCCCGTCTCCTGAGTACTGAGACATTAGTTGTATAGTGCCACCAGTTGGTTTACACTCTTATAGATATTATATGGCTCATTTCTGGAGAGTGGTTCTGACTGAGCCAACTGGACTACAGCAATGGATTCACAAATGTGACAGAAGCCCCTCTCTGCTGTCTCCAAGGAGGATGCTCTGATAAAGACAGCCACCCCAGACAAGCCAGGAGTGGAGCCTTGTCACCCACTGTCCCTGAAAGGCTCGAGGCTGCTGGGGATGAAATGGCAGTGGAGATGGAAGAGGAAGGAGGAGGGAGGGATGCTGGGAGGAGGTTCTTCAGCATTACAACAAGAACTGGGATGGGCCCAGCGGTCTCACTGGTGGAGCAAACGTTATCATAGGTCTCTCTGTCCTCCTTTGACCCTGTTAGATTCTGCTCTTCCCTTCTTTCACAGCCTTCTTCTCCAGGGGCTCCAGAGTCTTCCCAAGTACAGCCTGTGCAGGAGACCGGGTTTTTCCCGTCACCCCCCACAGTCTTGCTGGGTCTGAGTACCACTCCTCACAGGGAAGCAGCCTACACACAGATGAAGCAACCAGTGTGGACAAATCAGAGGGAGGACAGAAAAGGGTTCTTCTGTCTCATACCATCCATTTAAGCCTTAGCCCAATACAGATACATCTATGCCCAACATCCATGTTATGTGGGTATGTAATATTGGTCATGTTTGACCTTGCTCGATACCGTTAATGACTCCTTGTGCTTTAATTTGCTTTTTAAAATTACTTAGCTGTGTCTGTGTCTGCACACATGTATGCAGATGTACATGCCTGTGCATAGGCAGAGGCCAGAAGAGGGTATTGTATATTCTCCTCTACCTCCCCACCTATCCCTTAGAGGCAGGGTCTCTCCTTGAATGTAGAGCTTACATTGCATAAGCCAGCAAGTCCCTGCAATTCTCCTGTCTCCACTCAGGGAGACACGGGGTTGCAGGCATGTGTGGGATGCCTGGCTTGTGTAACTTCCTTTTGCTTTTCACGTGCTGGTTTGGCAGATTACATACTATGGCTTGAGTACTTGGGTCCCCAACTCCCACGTGGAAGCCTGTTCTGACGGAATGAAGGGAAAAGGCTTCTGGGAGGTGATTAGGTCACCAGGGTGGGGCTCTTTAGAATGAAGTGAGTGCCCATCTAAGGGGTTGAAGGAACCAGACTTCATCCCTCCCACCACCTGAGGACACATCTGTAAGGAGCTGTGTATGAAGTAGAGGTGAGCTCTCACGGGACCCTGACCTTGGACTCACCAGGCCCCCAGAAATGAGAGCAGCAAATGTCTGTCAGCCTTTCATCACAGCATTTCCAACAGACTCAGACGCGTGACCCTCCTGCTCACCAGCAAAGGATCAGGTGGCTGACTCACGACAGCACTTTGGACGGGCTGAGGGGCCCACACCACAGTCACGGGGAGACTCACGTTACCATGACAATCGCTACTGAGGAGTCCAAAGCTCCTATTTTAAACCTCGAAATCAACAGTTGACTAAGTTCTCATCTGCCGGGCCAGATAGCAAAGACATTTAAGATTTCAAAGTTGAAGGTTCCTTGTGGGTTTTTAGACAAGAAAAAAAAAATTGCCGGCATACTTTTATATGATAAAGTGAAAATATCACCATCATAATTAAGCACAATTAGTTTTGGTGTGTGCACAGGTATGTGTGCACATGCATGTGGAGGGCAGATGTCAACTGTGGATGCTGAGTCTCAGAATAATTTTTTCTCGCTGGGGCCTGAGGACCCTGTTTTCCTCCGCAGGGTTGAGATTACAGCTTACACCTTGATACCTGACGCCATGCCTGGACTTTACACGGGTCCCAGGGATCAAACTCAGGCCCTCATGCTCATGTGATAATAACTTTCCAGACTGAGCCAACTCTACGCTCTTGAGTACCGTTCTTTAAGTACAAGTCTACCAATGGGAAGAAGGGAGGTGTTTTTCGGGGGTATGGGTTAGGGCAGGGATACTTTTTTCCTAACTGGAGTATGAAGGTAATGCTAACATAATGTTCTGATATCAAAATCTAAAGCTGCCCCACATTATGAGGGGCACACACCCATGCACACACACGCCACATACAGACTAGAAAAAGAGTGTAAGAATGTAGCAATAGATACGGTTCTTCACGGTTTAGGAGCCCTTTGTCCTGCGCCATCTCTGAGCCTGGCTCTGAGCAGTCATTGAGAAGGCTTGTCTGGTCAAGGTGGGAGACAGTTATGGCTAGGTCTGGATGGTGGCCCAACAGGGCGTCAGGCCTACCAGGGCCTTTACCCAGGACAGCAAATCTTGACACCCCCATTTTTCTTCCTAAATACTTCCTGAACTGAACACACATTGAGTTCTCAAACGCTTCTCTTGGTGCCACTTCCTTCGCGCCAAATTATCCCATGGAATGCGAGTCTGCTTCAGGAAAATGTGGGCTTGGGGAGGAGTGAGTTTCCAAGTCTGACCTCACGGTAGAGGCCACTAGAAGGCTTGGAAGAAAAGCAGCAGCAGCAGGCCCAGTTCTCAACCAGCTGCAGAGGCTCTGCCGTTAGACTTGGGCATCACACTGGCCGCTCGCAAACGTCCCCAGGTTATTTTTGTTTTGTCTGAGGCTCTCCTGATGTAGCCCAGGCTGGCCTTGAACTTGCCATCCTTTTCTCTCAGCTTCTTGAGGGCTGGGACTACATCACCAGCCACACATGGATCGCCTCCAAGTGACTCTGTCATGCACCTAGGGTTGAGATCCATGAGATCATCATGGCAGGGTGTCTTCAGAGATGTTTGCTCTGTGGAAAATCTGTCTCCTTGGAAAAGCGGCTGAGACAGCGGCATCCAGAGACTAGTGCCCTACAGTACAGATGATGGATTAGCCTTGGTGATAGGATCCGGGTGGCGGCGGGGTCAGCGGGAGAGACTCAGAGGTTGTCAGATGCAAATGTTCCCACTCATGGGAGACCAGGTAGTGTGACTTAGAGAGGGACCAGCCCCCGAGGAAAGAAGAATTCTCCTCCAGAACGAAGAACCACTCGCCACAAGCCCGGCCCTCTACGAGCCTTCATTGCCCTCGGTCCCCTGTACCCACACTCACCTCACATTGGCCAGTGGTCCAGTACTTTCAAAGTTGTCCCTGAGGTCGGGCCCATCGCCTGACGACTTGCGGGAGTCAGAATAGGAGGAGACGCTGTTGAATCGAACCTTGTAGCTCCTGTGACAAACAGACAAGGGCATGAACGCTGCCTAGGAGTCCTCCTGAGGCTAGCTCCCACTCTGGACATCTTCAGCTTCTTGATCCTTGTTCTAGAACCTTCTCTCCGGTATTGAGATAAATTATACCACTCTTCTAGGCTCTCTGGGAATGCATCGATTTACCCGCAACGGCCCCAATGATAGCTGATCTCTCAAATGTAAATGTTTCTGGGCCTTGTTTAAACTGGGAAGATTGAGACCCACAGAGTTCAGATGGTCTTGTCGGTATGGGGGTCGGTGGGGTGGGGGGATGCTGTGACTGGGACCAGGCCTCCTGACCTCTCAAGTTGTAGCGTGCAGAATAAGGGGAACTCTGGTGAAGTGAGGGTTCTGGTTCAGTAGAGATGGGGGGGAGGCGAGAGTCAATGTTTCTGTTCCTAGAGCTCACCAAGCAGCTCCAAACAAGACTGGTGCTCTCCAATATGGCAGCCATTTGCCGCCTGCAACTATGTAACCCAAAGTTAATTACAATGAGTTACAATTGCAAACTAGCTGTCCAAGACGAGAGGGCTTGGTTAAATGTGGGATGCGCATAGGGCAGGAACCCAGAGGAGACTTTTCAGCCATAAAGAAGAATGAAGTCTGCCTCAGCTGAGCTTGGTGGCTCACGCCTTTAATTCCAGCAGACTGAAGGTCGATGCAGGTGGATCTCTGTGAGTTTGAGGCCAACCTGGTTTACAGAGTGAGTTCCAGGGCAGCCAGGGCTACCCAGAGAAACCCTGCCTCAGAAAATCAAAAAGAAGGAGGAGGAAGAGGAAGAGAAGGAGAAAGAAGGCACATTATTTGCAGAAATGGGGGCTGGGGTGGGGATGGTTACATAAGCCAATTCCAGAAAAATATTTTACATTATCTCCCACTTGTAGTTCCTGAATTTTAAAGCAACACATAACATCATGTATGTGTAAATGGCACGGAAGCACAAGTGAAGCTGTGTAGGGACACGGGAAGGGCAAGGAAGGGGGTTAGGGACATATGGGAAAATACGCTCAACCTACAGTGTACCCCGGCTCCTTGCCTGCACTCGTTGTATTTTGTTCCAGGTGCTCAGCAGCCATATGCTGCTGGTGGCTGCTTTACAGCCAGCACAGACAGACGATATCACTGTAGAAAGTCCCACAAGGCTGGCCTGTCCCTGCCAACACTCTCCTGCCGCGGAGTGACATTCTCAGACATTTTAGGGTCATGAGCCGCATGTCTAGTAAAAGTGGAAACTGTTCTTGGCACTGATCTGAGGCATGCATGCACACTGTGTGTGGGTGAGGGTGCATGTATTTATGTAAATATGTCCATGTGTATGTGGGTCCACGTGTGCATGCATGTAAACGCGTGTGTGTGTTTATGTATGTGCACATGTGGGGAGCTGTATGTGTACTTGTGTGTGGAGACTAGAGGTCTTTGGGAGTCTTCCTCAGGTTCTGCCTATCTTGTGTTTTGAGACAGAGTCTGTCATTGGCCTAGAACTCACCAAATAGGCTAGGTTAGCTGGCCGGGATTGCTATATCTGCCTTCCTGACTTTCTCTTTCTCTCTTTCTTTTTTTTCCTCCCTCCCCTCTTTTGCATTTCTGGAGACAGGATCTTAATATGAAACCATGACTGGCCTAGAACATACAGACATTCCCCTGCCTCTGTCTTTTGAACACGGGGATTAAAGGTGCCACCACACCTGGCCCCACCATATCTGGACCGTAATTTTTTAGAGTGTGTGTTCTGAGGATGGAGCTCAGGTTCTCACAGCTGTGAGACAAGCACCTCATAGGCCCAGCATTTCCCCACAGTTTTCACAGCCAGGGAGGATGTCCAAGGCCCAGGCCGCAGCACAAGAGGCTCAGGAACCCAAGACTGAAAGCAAAATCAGTTTCCATCAAGATCTTTTGCTTCTAGACAAACCAGAAACAACTGCTGGCATTGCCACTCTGGCAATGCAGATCTGCATCCATTCCTCAGCAACCACATGGAGGCTTCTAACGACCTGTAAGTCCACCTCTAAGGGATGTAGCTCCCCCTTCTGGCTTCTGTGGGCACTGTACACACTTACACTCATAATTTAAAATAAAACAAATCTTAAAAAACACAAACTAAAATAAAATTCTCAACATTCAACACAGACAACTCTTCCCTTCCCAAATCCCCTAAACTAAGACAGAATCCCAAGAAACATATTAGAATGCAAAAGGAGAGGGAGTGAAGGAGGGAGGGAGGGAGAGAGGGAGGGAGGGAGGGAGGGAGAGAGGGAGGGAGGGAGGGAGAGAGAGACAGAGAGAGAAACAAAAAAGGAACATGCACACTCTGGCAGAGCGTTTCTAGGCTGGATGCTTTTCAAAGTTTTTGTTCTAACAAGGTTCTAAATACACGGATGTGTATTTTCTGCCCCGAAAATAGACTCGCATTGAGTCACTTCTCCAAATCCGTCATGCAGCATACCAGGGGGGTGGCTGTGTCGTTAGCGGGGGAGGCACGATGGATGGTTGTGGGGTAAAAATACCAGCACGTGTACTGTATGAGCTGGAGGTTTCTGCCATTGCTTTCCCTGCTGTAGATAATTCCCTCCATCCTCAGCAGCAGCCCCTAGAGACTGGCAGAGCTGAGGTTTCTCCCCATTCGGTTAATGAGAAGGACCAAGGTCCACAGAGGTCAGGAGATTTGCTTAAGGTTCCTAGAGTTAGTGGCAAGGCCTGGGTGAGGATTCAGGTCTCTTTGAGACTCAAATGTAGCCAGGGATGTTCCAGCACAGGGCATGCATCAATTAACATACACCATGCATGCACACACACATGCACACACACAGGCACACACACATGCACACACACAGGCACACACACATGCACATGCACACGGATGCTCTCTACCTGTGCTGGTTGTCACCGGCAGCAACCAGGCTGTGAGCTTCAAGGTTAGCATGGGACAGGGAAGGCCCTTTACGGGGAAAGAAATGCAAGGGTTCCGGGTACCTAGAGGGGAGAATGGATGGTGCCCTATCTCTCCCTGAAGGAGGTGGGGAGAGGGAGCTGCTGCGGGTGGAAAGGAGAGGGATGGGGAGGCGGAGGGCCAAGATGCTGAAGCTGGTGGGGAGCAAGTGCTGACCAGAAGATGCTCATGGTTCTGTTCCCTGGGTACCCAGAGCCTGGGTTTGGTCCTGTGTTCTCAGGAGGGAGACCCAGAGAGAGTGTCTCTAAAGTCCAGCCAGCTACGAATCATACACACATTCTTTCTTGTTTGCTATTTTTTTTTCTCAAGACAGGGTTTCTCTGTGTATCCCCAGCTGTCCTGGAACTCACTCTGTAGACCAGACTGGCCCTGAACTCACAGAGATCCACCTGCTTCTGCCTTCAAAGTGCTGGGATCAAAGTTATACGCCACTACTGTCCGGCTCACGCACACACTCTCTTAAGTCACAGGATCTGCTTTTCAATGGCAAGTCTGTATTGGTCTCCTCAGTGGGGTTCAGTGTCCATGTGCCCTGTGTTCAGCACCTCAAAGAAGGTTCTAGAGATTTCCAAAGATGGTCTGGTGCACGGACATTTCCACCTTGTAAAATGTGTTGAGGGGGAGTCAATTTTCTCCTTCCACTATGTGGGTCTTGGGGATCAAGCTTAGTTATCAAGGTTAGTGGCAAACAATCCCCACCCAACTAAGCTATTTTGCCAAGCCCTGTAAAATGCCTTTAGAACCGAGCCCCATGTGAGTACAATCACATGTGAGCCCCATGTGTGTGCAATCACAGGCCTCTGGCTTAGCATATATTTACCCTTTGAACTTTGTTACCTGCACAACCATTCTGAGCCTCGGATGGAAGGTTCTAAGGAGAGGGTGGCTCCCGACTTCCAGTGTGGGCTCCAAAGGCAGAGGAGTGATAATAGGAACCGAGGTTTGCACAGTGCTCCAACTCTTTCTTGAGACCCTCCCATTTTAAAAATCTGATTTGGTTCAGGAAGTCAAGGTAGATATTACTATCTCTGCTTGATAACAGAATTGGAGGTACAGAGGAGAGGGATGTCAAGCCAGAGATCGTAACTCCAGCCACAGTGAAGGCCAGACCACCAGCTCAAACCCATCTCCAAAGGCTGTCAGCCATAGCCGGGCCCTCACATGAACCCTAATTGTCAAGACATATTGTTCAATGGTTCCCAAGAGCAGCATGTGACATCAGAGAGGACATTCACTTACTTCCTTTCCTCCTGCATGGAGTTTGGGTGCCTCATCTCCATCAAAGCGCAGCCGAATTTCTACAAGTCAAAGCGAACGAGCAGAGCGTGAAGAACGTGTTAGTGGTGGGCACAGGCCCTGGGGCCGTCACTGCCTGATGGCACGATGCCAGGGGCGGCCAGGGGCTGAGGTGGGCGGCCAGTGCCCCAGCTTCAGGTTCCATGTATGTGTGGGGATGGCCAGATATTTAAAGTACAGGTGTGAGCTAGCGCCCCACCCCAGGGTACAACCGACTGCTGTGGCCTTTATTGTCTCCAAGAACTGCTCCAAGCTCAGAACGGGAGTACCTTAAACACACAGCTCACTGTGGGGATGTTTAGCCAAGGGACACTGGTAGTCAAAACTTGGTATTGTCCCTTTTGCCCAAATTGGATCCAACCAAAGTCTTGACTTTGGGGCTTGGGGAGGGAGGGCTTACTTCTGAGTGGCAGTTGTGGGGAAGGATCCCAGCTGTGACCATTTCCTGTGGGGGCTGGAATCCCAGGCTAGGGCAGGGGCATTCCCTCTCACCTCCCCGTTCTCAGGGGGGTCTCCATTGCCAAAGGTGCTGGTGACCACCAAGACCAGGGCTTCGTGTTCCAGGTGCACAATGTCATACTCCTCCATGGACATCGCCTAGGCGTGGGGGGTGTGGGAGAGAGAGGAGAGGTGAGTGGGGGCGAGGAGAGGGGACAGAGGGTGTAAGGAGCAAGAGGGCGAGCTATTCTGAGCTGCCTCCTGGCTCGAGGCCCAATGTTCTTGACGCTCACTATCTAGTGGACCCTTGTGATAGCACTAGTGATGTTTGCTGGCGTGAAATCTTGCTACGGGCACTGTCTCCTGAAGGACTATGGGAACCCAGGCTCTGGTCCAATGGAGTAGATCTTTATAAAGATCCCTGAACGTTTTTTCCCCTTGTGTGTATGTGTGAGTGCATGCGTGTGTGTAGTGTGAATGTGTGTGAGTTCATATGTTTGAGCATGTACATGGGAAGGTCAGAGGTTGACTTTGGGTGTCTTTCCACATTGCTCTCCACTTCCTTTTCTGAGCCAGGGTCTCTCAGCTGAGCCCAGAGATCACTGATTGGTCTGTTCTAACCAGCCAGCTTGCTCTGGGGAAATTCCCATCTCACCTCCCATGTGCTAGGGCTGCAGGCTACCCACCACACACCTGGCATTTACATTTGGGCTCTTGGCACTCAAACTCCAATGGTCATGGTTGGATGGCAAACACTTTACTGACTGAGCCATGTGCCAAACCCTATGCCCCCAGATATTTTGTGACCTTGGAGTCCTGACCACAGTTAGACTGGGTGTGACCTGGCAGCACCTGAACAGGTTTGTCCAGTCTTTTCTCTAATCCTTCCTCCAGTACCTGGAAGGACCTGAGCCCCCTGAGGCTGAGGAGCACGTTGCAGGGAGAGGGCTATCACCTGCATTTTAGCATTACCGACGCATCTCTCCACCTTTCTAAGGAACCCCACTCTCCCCAGATACCTCATGAGAACCAGGGATCTTGTTTGGGTCAGATATGTTCGGGAAATATGTATATCTCATAATTTCCCCAGTTATAATGGGTGTTCATAGATTTGGAGCTCTAGGAAGTCCTGATCTATGCATGGAGCTGTAACTATTGAGGTTTCTCACACAGATCCCTAGCAGGGTGGACTCTCGTCAACCCACTAACATTTTGCTCTAGAGATGGGGGTTTCCTGTGGACTGGACTCTTCTAGGATCCATGGGAGACGTATCTATGCTTGGTATGTATGCAAATACACACGTTATTTACTGTGAGGGTCCAGGCAGCTTCTACTAGTCCTTGCTCACCTTGGCGTCAAAGGCGTGCTTGAAAATCTCGCACAGGGTCTTGGCGTAGGCTTGCGATTTGCCTGTCTCTGTGGCATAGAGAATGGTTGCTTTGACCCTCTTGGCCATGGCCTGCCCCATCAGCTTGGCTGAGAACTTGACGGCTCTTCAAGGGGGCAGGTGGAGAGAGAAATGGGGGACAGGGAAAGGACACAGGATGTTAGAATGGGATGTAGGGACCCCAGAGACACACAACATCCCAGAATTCAGGGACCACATTGGCTTATGAATTATTCCCCCAGATCAGAGGTCCAAGTTGTGAGGTCCAAGGTTGGCAACGTGGCTGCTGTTGGATGACAGACAGTTGTTGACTCTATTAAACCATCTTGGTGACATACACCAACCATATATGCCAGCTGGACCCTGTGTCAAAAGGGATTCCTTCACGGTCCATAGTCTCCCGATCTTCCTTTTGGCTCAGTTAAACATTATTATTATTACTATTATCAATAATTATTAGTAATTAAATTTTTTTTTAAAAAGACAGGGTCTTGCCAGGCAGTGGTCGCGTATGTTTTTAGTTCCAGCACTTGGGAGGCAGAGGCAGGCAGATCTCTGAGTTTGAGGCGAACCTGGTCTACAGAGCAAGTTCCAGGACAGCTAGGGCTACACTGAGAAAACTTGTCTCAAAAAACTAAACAAAAACAACTCCCCACACCACCACCACCAACAACAACAACAACAAAAAAACCAACAAATAGGTTCTTGTTATGTAGCTCAGTCTATCTCACCTATATCCTCCAACCCGTGTGTGTGTGTGAATGTGTGCATGTGTATGTGTGTGTACGTGTGTATATGTGTGTATGTATGTGTGCGTGTGTATGT